GTATAAAACATGCATCTGTGTGTGTGTGTAGATTACTGTTCCAATCATCTTCAGTTGTTCCTCCCGGATCGTCCTCAATTCATATTGTGGGCTTTGGTGCCAAAGTAGAGGCTCATTTTCCTCATGATCCATACTACTGTGTTATCCCTGAAGCAGGTGCAGTTTATCTTTCATCTGAAAAACAAACATTAGAACACAAGAAACGCCCACTTTCCTCTCTTCGCATTGTGCAGCCTGTCAATCAATCCAATTGGGCAAAACATAACTGCATTGACAGACGGTGTGTGGCATCAGGGCAGAGGCTGTAGCCAAATACAGACTTAACAATATGTATGTTTCTAATTTTATACTCCCCTAAATGTGAATTACAAACCAAAGTTGTCCTCCGCCCAATGACCGCTCACTGCGGTTGGACCGAATCCCTGTCCGGACAAACAGCAGAGGGAGGGGCTCCCAGTACCTTCAGCAAGGTATTCATCTCAGAGTACTTTCCTCAGAGTACTCATCCCAGAGTACTCATCCCAGAGTACTCTCACTTTTACACCTGTTCAATAAAGCTTGTCATCTTTGAATCTCTAGTACTTACACCGTATGCTGTTGACAAAAAATAATTATTCCATGATCACATTAAAACATTACAGAAAACTTTTGTTATTCCATTCTCCGTTCAGCACTCCTCGTCCACTCCTCATTTCACACCACACTCACATCCCACTCACACAGGCCGACGTTAGTATTGGTCCAGTTTGTTAAGGTCAACGTAGTGTATTGGACATGACGCACAAACATATAACATACACAAACATATAACATACACAAACATATAAACAACACAAGAGGCCTGTAATTTTAACTTTGTTATATTTTTCCATGTCCAATTACAATTGTCTCATGAGCTATTTTATAGTTGCAACTTTCAGAGCCTGCAGAACATGCAAAGCTTTGAGAGATTTTTCCTAAAAGGATCCATTTCAAACTTTTAGTGTTTAAACCACGTGGTCTTTACTCGGGCTTGTCACAAACTGTGTCCCCTATATTTTTAATGAGCTCTTGTTACTAAAAAAAAAACTCATGCACGTGCAATAAATGTTTTTCCCTTTTTTTTTTTTAAAGCCAGTTCGGATTCCTTAAAAATGTAAATTAGTTTCAAACTTTAATACTTCACCTTTGTTTCACGTTCATGTGGAGAAAAGACCATTGTTTTATGTGTGTGTACTTGCACCAATCATGTCTCAGATAAACGGCCAACAGTTATCAAAGACATAATTGTCCTAATTGTTTCTAATTTAGCTATTTGGAAGAGAAACATGTCATAAAAGATTTCAAAAAATGTCCCTACATCTTTGTTTTCAACCAATGAACAGTGTTGCGTCTATGTGTTATCAGAAATGATCCAATATCACCTTTAGCCAAAATTCAGAAATGCTTTAAATCATTTTTCAAACTTTAATTGTCTGAACAAACCATTTTGTACTAAATGCAGCGTCCATTAAAAGCTGCAGTTCTCTTTCTAGCACCAGTTTCATCTGTGCATGTGATTGTTCTTAAATGAGAAACGAGCCACGGTTCAGAGGTTGAAAACACTGCTTTAAATATCCGTATTACCAAGATCATGCAGTTAAAATCAATAATTCTAAACTTCTCCGCGTCTATAACTTTAAATAATACTAGTTTCAATAATAGAGCTCCTCTACTTTAAATATACTGCTGTTCTAATCTCCTTGTGTCTCATGCTAAAGCAAGAGTCTAATTAATTCTAACGATTGTCCTGTATTCTTTCATGCAGCTAAATGTGGTGTTATGAACGAATGACCTAAATGTGTAAATATAACTTAATATGTCTCTGTGCGTTTGTTGTCTGTCTGTATATTTACCTTCTGTGTGTCTCATTTAGGCCAGCCACGTCTCAAATGTCCGTTAATGTCTTTCTTTTACTCATGGCGTCTTTCAATGTCTTTTGTCTCATAGTGTCCAATGTCTTTGTCTCCATGTCTTTTTTCTTCTTCTTCCAACAATCACTTTCTTTCTTCTTCCGATAACTCTTTCTCACAATGTCTTTCTTCTTCTTTCATATCTGACGCACCCAAATGTGTCGTGTCCTTCTTCTTCTTGTTTGGTTTTCCGGCGGTTGGCGGCCTATTTTTCGCATTACCGCCACCTTCTGTTTCGTGGATGGGACAACACTCAGTTTGTGAAAAAGTCTGCGGTCTTTTCTTTGCCTCCTCACAGGCAGGAGAAGTCTTCTTCGAGAGTTCCTGTTAGCTGCTGCAGCCGATGCTGCCCCCTGCGACCCGCAGGGAGAGGGGGAGACGCTGATGATGATGATGATGCTCGGTTGTGGTTTGTGGCAGGGACGATTTTTGGCCAAATGAAACAGACAGAAGTTTTCTCGGAAAAAACAGACAAACAAGAAACACAAACAAGTGTGTTAATTACCATACCAAACCAATGATTAATTACAATTCAAAATAAACCTATGAAATAATTACTATTAACATTTTAAACATTAAATTCTGAAAACCAAATCTGCATTCAACTACTATCCTAAGCCCTATTTTTTCCAAAAGTATAATGCTCTCTAAGATCATTCTAACTTTTATATCACCAAAATGTAGGGAAAAAAACTTGTCTAGACGCCTTGGAGATAAAAAATAAAATAATGCCTCTTTATAATCTAACTCAAAGTTCTGTGATCCTATGACTCCATGTCAGTAACATTATCGTGTGTATAAATGTAATTTTCTACAAAAAATTCTTTCTTCACGAGAGAGAGAGAGAGAGAGAGAGGGGAGAGAGAGAGGACAGAACGAGGGAGGGGAGGGGCCTCCCGAACAAAGGAAGCATGGAGTCTGAAATACTTTTCTCGTTTTTCTCGTGACAAGGTTCTAAATCAGTGGTAAAAGTTTCTCTCACGTCAAACGACACTTTACATTTTATCCTTAAATACGTCAGTAATGGAAAACATTACTATTTGCTACCTGATTAATGTATCGAGGGTTCCAGCAGAATCTTTTTTTTTTTTTTTTCCCTGATTCGCTGTAACTATCGAAACATTACATCAGAATACAAGAGAAAAACTCCCAGACTGATCTTTTGTCATTTCTTCACATGAAACTCGTATACTACAGCCAAGTGGCTCCTTCTTTTCTCATTAATCAGATCATTATTATCAGAATCCACATTTTAAATACTTGGCTTTTTTCTGTTTAAATGTACCCTTTTTTTCCCGCCCCCCGGGGGATATGGAGTTTTTATTATCCTATCACTTCTGACCCTATACTGCCCCTATTTCTCTAATCCTATTTATCTAAACTCTTGTGCCTCTTTTGCACCTTAAAACGGTGTGCCTCTTTTGCACTTCTAAATCCTGTGGCTCTCTTCCTGTATATTCTTTTTTAGAGAGAGACCAGCATCCCTCAAGGTTCAAAAACGTCGAAAAACCTGACTATTGTTCTATCGCGTCCGATAGAATCGCCCATCACGGCGGTCTGGCCACGCTGCAGTCATGCTGGGCCGAGATCTCTCTCTCTTCTATTTAAAACAATGTGCAGACTTTAGAAATGGTATCTGCTTACCTGTGTTTTGCAGTAGAGAGAGCCCCAAGACCCAACAGACCCAGTCTATCTATCTGAGCTCATCTTGCGTCTTCTTTCTGTATCAAATCACGTCTCGGGTCACCAAATGAAGCCAAATACTCCCTTTTGGCTCGCGTGTCCACAATTTGGTACAGAAATCAGACGAAGATATCCAAGTTTAACATCTGCATTTAATTATCTTTACAATCAGATACAGAATATTCAACAAAAAAGTGCTCCTAAACTAATATGTCCCTCTCCTCTACCCCTGCGCTAACCTTCCCCCCAGAACTCAAACCAACAGTTTTATCAAGACGTCTGATGACGTCACTTGTGGGCGTCTCCCGAATGTTCTTTTCGGGTGTGCTGGCGTCCCGTGTCCACTGGGAGGCGTCAGAATGCCTTTGGAGAATCTCCCAGTCTGCCTGAGAGAGATTAGCCAGATGGTGTTTTTTGGACTTTTGGCCTCGCCAGAGAGACAAGAATGTTTATTCCTGGAGTTAATAATTTGTCCCGTTTTGAAAGTTGGTATCTCTATGACTGATTGTAGTTTCTCCATTTGACCCTCTTTATTCCTGTTTGCAATCCTTGTCCTTGGGGCTTTTCCCCGTGCACATTCTTCAGAGGGCCTATTTTCAAAATCATTAGTATACAACATTTTAATTATGCAACACTTTGTACAATGAAACGCCATATAAGTGAAATATAACGGGACAAAACAACGGCCTCCCTTTGCGGAGGTGACAGCCCGAGCGCTGCTCTGCACTCAGCCCCTGTCCTTAAAAAAACAAACATTATTTGAAAAACTACATTTAATTTGCATATTTGGTAATATTTGTGTCTTACCGGCCAGCAACAGTGCGCACGGGAGCAGCAGGAGGAGGGGGAGGGCCGCAGTGATAGGCGGAGTTGTCCCACAACAGCTCTGGGTCTGGGATGGATTTAGAGGTACGCTATGGTCAGCTGACCAAACTAAAAGCTGGACAACGAGCGTACTTACCTAGTGAGAGCCCCGTACCCTCACCGCGCACCCAGTGCGCGTACTCCCAGCATGGAAGGGTGGGAGAGCTGGCTGAGCAGCTATGTGTAAGCCCTATACAACACATGCCACGTTAAACCCGCCCGACAAATATAGCTAAAATACAATGACTGACCTGGCTGAAAAGAGGCTGAAAGTGCGTGGCTTGGTGGACAAAGTCTCCAAACCAGGAGCAGCAACACGTGCACGTCACTCCAATGCCCACTTGGGACAGGTGTGTGTGGTCTGCACGCGCACCACATGCACGCGCCTATAAAGACAGTGTTGGTGCCGCCCACGGCGCACATTTAAAGGTGTACATATACAACCATGCCACAGAAGCATTGGCTAGACAATAATTAGCTCGTAGCGCTAACGTTTGCACATAACCACAAAGAAACGAAAAGTCAGTCCTGCTCCGTGGGTGAAGTAGAGTGCTGGCGAGCCCAGGAGTCTGCAAAGTCGGTAGCTTCCTTCAGGGAGGGAAGAAGCTTTTTCGTGCCGTCGTCCAGCACAACGAAGAGCCTGGCAGGGTATCGCAGGGCAGGCTTGAGACCCATCTCGTATAGCTTCTTCATAATGTCTCGGTACGGCGTGCGCTGCTCTAAAACCTCGGGGCTATACTCTTCAAAAATTAGGAAAGGGGCATCGTTATAATTAAGCTTACCCCGCAGTTTACGAGCACCCCGCACAACCAACTCTCGTGTCTTGAAATCGTGAAAGCAGATCACCACAGGCCGCGGCTTACCAGAGGGGCCTGGTTTAGCAGCGAGCGTTCGGTGGGCCCTGTCCAGCTCCGGGGGAGATTTATTTTCAGAATGTCGAGACCCAGCGTATCGAAGAGCAGTTGTGAGAAAAATGCCGTTGGCGTAGAGCCCTCAATGTTCTCAGGGAGACCTATGATACGAACATTGGGCCTCATTCACGAACGGTTCTTAGGAACAGATTTGTACGTAAATCCTACTTACGCGGTTTTTACGAAGAAAGTGGCATTCACGAATATTTCTCGTAACCAGAATTTCTCTTGGGCAAGTACAAATCCTACGAGTCCTCAGGAGCACTCGTACGCATTCAGTGCCGACATGTTCACACGCCGGGGTTGTCCTCTTTGGTGAAGTTGAATAAAAATACAACATTCCAGTGATATGTCCGTCATATCGATGTATGTATTTATTTATTTGTAGTAATCTTTATTAGTAATCTTTATTTATATACCGCCTTTTTCACTGCAGATCTGGCCTACTTTTTAATTCATTTTGAAATGAAATGTGCCAACGCTTTATCAAATACATTTGAAATCTTGCCGTGTATTAGTGACCCCTTCCTATTTATAGGGGGCATTTCTTTATCCACGGGCCACAGAACAACGGCATATATACTGCTGCTGCAGGAGGTTACTGGGTCCGCGCTGAGTCTCTGCGCTGGTCTCTCCTATGGATCTATACGGGTCTGCACTGGTCTCTCCCATATACGGGTCTGCACTGGTCTCTCCCATGGATCTATACTGGTCTGCACTGGTCTCTCCCATGGATCTAGACGGGTCTGCACTGGTCTCTCCCATATACGGGTCTGCACTGGTCTCTCCCATACGGGTCTGCACTGGTCTCTCCCATGGATCTATACTGGTCTGCACTGGTCTCTCCCATGGATCTATACTGGTCTGCACTGGTCTCTCCCATGGATCTATATTGGTCTGCACTGGTCTCTCTCCATACGGGTCCGTGCTGCATGCTCCTGGATCCATACGGGTCCGCGCTGGTCTCTCAAGTCTGGTCTATGCGGTCTATCTTCGGTCCGCGCTGGTTTCTGTGTGCTGGTCACTCCAGTCTCTCCTCGGGTCTGCATTGGTCTCAGCGCTGGTCCGCGCTGGATCTCCTCCTAGGGTCCAAAATATTTTGAGATTAATCTCAAAACATTTTGAGATTCATCTTTAAAATAATACATAATATATTTTTAAATTAAGCTCATAACATTTTGAGATTAATCTCATCATATTCTTAGATTAATCTCATAATTTTGCTAGTTCGACTTTATTATCATAATATTTCGACTTTTAAGTCAACATTTTATAACTTTATTCTCAGTCTGGTAAAAGAAGAAAAAAGGCCTGCTTTAGGCCTGTTGCTGTTTCCTCAGCCGTCTGCACACGGCCCTGCAGCCCCTTATATGGGCATTAGTGGGCGGTTACTTATGCTAAGTACCTATGCTAATGAAGCACCTGGCACGCGCGCTGTACTTACGAGGAAATGGGATTCATCAATCTGAGAGAACAGCTGCGAACAATTCAGCGGCTTACGAGTGCGTTGATGAATCCCACGTGGGGACTTCTTAGAAATCTACTTAAGGACAACTTGAGAAGAAAGTTGAGTAGTTTCTTACGAAGTTATTCGTGAATGAGGCCCATTGTTTCTACAGCTTCTACCCTCGAGGTCCGACACCTTAGCTCTCAACTTAGCATTCTCCGCAACAACAGCAGTGAGCGTAGCCTGCATAGCCATGAGGTCGGTACTCGTAGAGTCCGCAAACTGCTCAAAACCCATAATGCGTAGCTCATGGTCATCGACAGACGTCTCGATATTCTCCAGCTTCGATTCGTACTTAGTGTAGATGTCCCTGACTTCTGCCAAAAACTCTGCCTTGTGCTCCGCTAGCTTCTCGGTTAGCAAGTCGGTGATCGTGCTAGTAAGGCTAGCCGAGACTTCCAGTTCTTGTGCTTCTTTTCCATCTTAGATCATCAGATCTAAGATGGCGCCGGGGTGCCTTGTACGCCACTTTGCTCTTCCTATGTTTGCCAGTTTAATGATACTTTTATGTTGTTTTGTACGGATCACACACTCTCTGCTGGTATATGAACGTCACGAGCTGCTAACTGTCAAAGCAATAGTAGAAATTCGAGCGGATGATGATGGCTCAAACAACTCGCGCCCACCCTACCTGTCAGATGTCCCGGATTACCTCCTCCGGGTTCAGGCCCTGCTGCCCAAGAAACGCAGGCGGTGCGGAGTGCGCAGCGGCCGCCTAGTCAGGTTGAAGTCCTGGCTGGTACTTTCACCGGAGCTGTTGTGGTGTCCAGAAAGCATTCCTCGCGATTATGAATCCTGCTTCCGCCGCTTCCTCGTCCGATGTAAGCTGGCTCCTCTCACCGCTGCTGTCGCTTGGCTGCAGCCTGTCTGTGGAGCGCAGGACTATCCCCAGACCGTGCGCCGTGGCCTGTCCCGTCGTCGCCGTGGATTGAGAGGCGCAGACTCCACGCCCTGTGGTTCGGGCCGTACCTGGGGCTGTCGCACTCCAGGCACCGCTTAAATGTGCACTTTTAAACGCGCGATCCGTGGTGAATAAGACATTTATCATCCAGGATTTCTTCATTACGCACGCACTGGATGTACTTTTCCTGACGGAATCGTGGACTCGGGCGGGTGAGTCTGCCCCGTTTTCTGAAATGATTCCGCCGGGCTGTGCTTATATTGATGCGCCAAGATCCACTGGACGCGGAGGTGGCATTGTGTCAGTTTTTAAGAACAGCGTAAGCTTTAAGTCGCTAACAACAGACTCATTTACTTAATTTGAAATGAGTTCTTTTGAACTAGGGCAAAATGATCCCGTGTTTTGAGCGGTGATCTACAGACCACCGAAGTATAACAAGGACTTCATCAGCGACTTTTCTGAGTCTATAGCCCCAATTCTGACTAGCTATGATAAGATATTAATAGCTGGGGACGTTCATTTCTGTTGCCCCTCTAGGCCTATGGCTAAAGATTTTATCGAACTGATAGATGGTTTTAACTTTGTGCAACATGTTGATAGACCCACTCAGTTGCATGGTCACACTTTAGATTTGGTGATTTCATGTAATCTACATATTGAAGGCGTTTTTATAGGTGATGCTATTCTATCCGATCACTGTCTGGTCCTGTGCGTTACTGCCGCACCCTTAAACCAGATACAGCAGCATCATTCTCTCCTCTTTTTATTACAAATGTACAGTCTGTTTTGGGGGGTTTGGCACTTCAGAACACAGAGGAGTTGACGAACTCCTTCATAGATACGTGTTCCTCAGTCCTTGACTTGGTTGCTCCACAGAGAGCCATGCGTCCTACTGTTAAACCTGTGCCGTGGATAAAAGCCACCACACGTGAGGCTCGGCGCAGGTGCAGACAGGCGGAAAGAAAGTGGAGGAAAGACCAGCTACGTGTGTCTTACGATATTTTAAATCACAGCTGGAAAATGTACCAAAAGATAGTGAAAGAAGAGCAGGTCAAATATTTTACAGAATTGGTAACAACAAATTCCAATAATTCTCGTCTTTTATTTCAAACGATTGGGTCGGTTTTAAATTCGTCCAAATCCACAATTTTAGAGTGTTCGTCTGAAAAATGCGAGCAATTTCTAACCTTCTTTGTTGAGAAAGTTGCTTTAATTAGGGCAAATTTAGTGCGATGCTTCAATGAGAACGAGCTGCTCAGCAACTGTTTTTATGAAATTTGAGTCTGTGTCATTAGGGTCACTGTCAAAATTGGTGAATCAAATGCGAGCTTCTTCTAGCCCGATAGATCCTGTTCCTCCGAAGCTTTTTAAGGAGGTGTGGGGAACAATTGGACAATGTGTGTGTCACATTGTAAACAGCAGTTTTATTTCTGGAATTGTGCCCTCTTTTTGTAAGCAGGCTGTTATTGAGCCGATCCTCAAGAAACCTAGTTTAGACTCCTCTAATGTTGCTAATTTTCGGCCAATTTCAAAGCTGCCATTCTTAGCTAAAATATTAGAAAAGTGTGTTTTATCGCAATTACAGCCTTATTTGGACAAACATGGCATTTTAGAATGTTTTCAGTCAGGCTACAAAGCCCTGCACAGTACAGAGTCAGCACTTTTAAAGGTTTTTAATGACCTTCTTTTAATGGCAAATTGTGGTAATTCTGCCATTTTAGTGCTTTTAGACCTGACTGCAGCTTTTGATACAGTGGACCATACAACTCTTTTAAACCGCCTGAAAGACTGTGTGGGTGTCAGGGGGACTGCATTGGACTGGTTCAGTTCGTACCTGTCTGGGAGATCCTGCACTGTCAGGCTGGGGGACTCCTCCTCTTCTGCCGTTCCTTTACACTGTGGAGTTCCCCAGGGTTCTATTCTTGGCCCACTCCTCTTCTCTATATACCTCCTCCCACTTGGTGCTATTTTTAGAAAGCATGGCATTGCTTACCACTTTTATGCAGACGACTGCCAGATCGATATGCCCATCTCCAAGAAACAAAAGGGCCCCCTGACACACCTGCTGGACTGCCTTGGTGACGTCAAGGCTTGGTTGGCCCAAAATTTTCTCTGCCTGAATGAGGGGAAAACTGATATTGTTTTGTTTGGGCCCACGGATCCCCTACTAGACCTGGGCACCCTCAGGGATAATGTCCATCCCTTTGCCACCAACCTTGGTGTCACCATGGACAGTGATTTTAACTTTGACAGGCAGATCAGCACAGTCGTGAAATCAGGCTTTTATCACCTTCGTCTTTTATCTAAGGTAAAGCCTTTTTTATCCTTTAAACTTTTTGAACAAGTCGTGCACGATTTTATTTCTTCACGTCTGGACTACTGTAATGCACTTTACACTGGGATTTCACAGAAGGCACTTTCCCGCTTACAGTTAGTCCAGAACTCCTCGCCACGGCTTTTAACAGGAACCAAAAAACGTGAGCACATTTCACCGGTTTTAGCTTCTTTGCACTGGCTTCCTGTTTATTTTAGAATTGATTTTAAGATTTTATTGTTTGTTTTTAAAGCTTTGAACGGACTCGCCCCTCATTACATCTCGCACCTCATCCAAATTTATCACCCGCCCCGCGCTCTGAGGTCCGAGGGCCAGCTCCAGCTCGTGGTGCCTAAGACGAGGCTTAAAACCTGGGGGGACAGGGCCTTCTCTGTGGCTGGACCAAAGCTCTGGAACGCTCTGCCCCCCCACGTCAAAACTGCTCCCTCGTTGGAATGTTTTAAGTCTCATCTTAAGACGCATTTTTACTCTCTGGCCTTTAACACCGCGTGAGTTGTGTGGTCCAATTTTTATCTTTATTTTGTTTTATTTGTTTTATTGTTTTTATTTATTTATTTATTCTTTTTAAATCGGATAACTAGTATTTTATTGTTTTTATCACATGTTTATAGTTTATTGGTATTTTATTGTTTTTATTACATTTTTATTGTTTTTACTTTGCGCATATTTAAATGTGTTGATTTTATCTCTGTGCAGCATCGTACAGAAAAGTATGCGTACGGCACTATTGGCCAAGCAACCCAAAAAAAAAAAAGAGAAATAGGTCAAATTACCACGTAGAAGTTATAAAAGTTGAGGAGCACGACTACACACGTCTACTCCGCTCTGTGGACCATACGTCACCACACACTAAAAACCTTCTAACACAAACTATATCCTCTCATATACTCCAGTTTCCTTTAAAAAAGCCAACACCGCCCCTACTTGTGCCCTACTGCCTTCCTCCAGAATACTCTTAAGATTGAGTCGTCTCATTCCCAACATCTCCTTCATGACTTCCCTACAGACGCTGTAGCCCTCATAACCACATGCTCCACAGATTATTCTTCCTCCTGACACACCTCACACATCCCTGTCCCATCTTTACCTATCAGACACAAAGTCTTATTAGGTGCACTGTGACCGATTTTTAATCTCGTGACTACAACTTCATCCCTTCTATTACCCCCATGAAACCCACCACCTCTCCCCTCTTTCTTTATCTGGTACAAATGTCTCCTAGTGTGACCCCTGTATCCCAGCATTTCTGCTACTTCAGAGCCACCTGCCTCTACACCACACTCTTCGCTTCAGATTTGCTGCTTTTCACTGTCAGCTCAACACTGCTTTCTCAACGCTTCCTTAGCCATTCTTGTCTGCCTGCTCATTTCCAGGGATCCCACAGTGCGCAGGGGAACTGCACTCTACTCCCTTGCTGATGAATTCTGGTAACTGTCCTCCAATGGTGTAGGTTTGGTTCCAATCTTGGTGGGGACATTCACTACGACCTGAGTCTACACCCATTGACACGGGGTCCAGAGTTTCTCCCCCAGAATTTGTTGTGTGATCACACACTATATTTGTAATAGTGTGTTGCCTTCTATACTAAACTCAGCTGTAGACTGAATGAGAAGCAGTTAAGGATTTTTTCTAATAGTTAACACAAAATCAATTGGATCAGAGCTTCTGAGTTTTGTGTTGCGTTCATTCTATACTGACTTAAACCTAATCCAAATCTACATAATAGCCCTCACCTGAGGCTCTAACAGTTCAGGAACTGCTCTCGATACTTGAAATAAATCATGCTCTGATCTTTCAATTTCCTATAATAAATAAAAACAGAGGAGAAAATATTGAATTAGAATCTACAGTGCGTAGCTCACTACATTGTTTGACATATACGATCAATCTCTAAAAACGATTCATAGTCCCATGCATACCTACAAAATTCCAACCTCACCTGATGCACTGAAGGGCCTGTTGCTTCTACCTCAACATTCCCTATATTGTTCTCTCTTGTTGGTTGAGTTTCCTATGTATGTTAACAGAAGATTAATCATCACAATTCATAATTTGCTATTACTTGTGCTTTCTCTTACTTACTTTCCAACTGTTAAAAAAGCTCCTGATATCTTTTATCTTTTTTTGTGGAGGTGGCATTTTTTCTAAATTATATAAGAAGGTATAGACAATCAAAAACAGACATTCATATACATGAACTGCAGAATAATTTATATAACTTGGCCAATGTCAAAAGTTACATAGTATTTCTCAATACAATGAGTTAACAAGAGTTTGGCAATAAGTAACAGTGTGGATTTTTCTATATTTTCTTTTTTTTTATTCCACTCTCAACCCAAAAAGGCAACTAATGACTCACAGGGCTCTCAAGTATGCAAAATAAAAACTTAAATGACCTGTTGTGGTGTGTTTTGCGCACAACCAGCATGCATCGTTAACGCAATGGAAAATTTAGGTATCCGAGCTTTAATTTCGGAAGCGCTGGTTGCGCTTTGGGAAGAGTCAGGGGAGAGACATGTCAGAGACACAGGGGAGAAACGCGGGAGATACGAGGGAGACCCGCACTTGCAACATGGTTCTGTCTGCATATGGTCCGAGCTCGGTACCATGTTAGAGCTGTGCTTTCACTGAGCGCCGCGGCTGTCATTACAAAGCGGCAGCAGCTGCACCAGGACGTGCACATTCGAGTGCATCGCTTGAATGTGCTTAGAGCAAATAACAGCAAGTGCCCGCTGTCACACATTTCACAGAAATTACATTATCAGCAGATAAAGGTTGTAAATCGTGGATCCGTGGAATATTTTCATCCCTAGTTTATCCTGATTCACACAACACACCCACTTATACATTTTGGATAGTAAGAGCACAATAAGTATTTTTTCAGCCTTTCAACCAACCTGTTTCTTTATTGGAGCCAGTTCTGTTCTGTCTCTGTATGCCGTGTGAGCTCCTCGGAACATTAAACAGTGCGCTGACAGATTAGAAATAACGTAAGTACTTTGAATGGTAATAGATCTACAGTACTTTCCTCTGATTACTCGCTTGCTACAACGCTCAGGGAACAAAAAAAACCACTTGCTTCACGCTGGCTAACTTTTAAAAATTAAACAGTCGCTCAGTGCTTCAGTTTGGCGCTGAAGAAGACAGCCAATCACTGCAGAGAACGGAACGGGTCACGTGCTGCTGCTGCTGCTGTTGCTCTGGAGGCGAGGAGGAGGCGCGACGTATGCACAAACGGAAGACATGTGTCCCGGACCGTCCGGGTCCCGGGACATCATGTCATTTTGGTGGGGACTTTTTAGTCCTCACCAAATATTGGTGGGGACATGTCCCCATGGTCCCCACGCAAACCTACGCCCTTGCTGTCCTCAGTATATTGCTCAAAATGTCCTGACAAGTGCTAGAGTTTAGTGACTGAATACTGGAGAGGACTGAGGCTGAATCTGAACAGACCAAGACCCTGTTCTGCTTGGTTACCTCTACCCACCGTAATGCCACCAATATTGCCAAAATCTCCCCTGTGTACACGCCCAAACCATCAGAGGTTCGCCTGTTGAAATTAATGCTCTTATCTGGGACTGAAACACCTAGATCTGTCACTCCAGTTTCTGGGTCTTTAGCACCATTTGTAAATACATCAGAATCAGAATCATTTTTATTGCCACGTAAGTGGCTCAGTGCAACAGTCAGAAAGAGATAATAAAAAATAAAGAATAAAAAACACTTCTAAGGAATAAATTTAAATTTAAAATAGAGTTACAGTTACTATTTACAAAATATAAGTGCACATGGTGCACACAATGTAAGGTGACAGCAGTACAGTGAAGTCAAGTGACGTATGATGGGCAGTAAAGTGACTTGATAAAGGGCGGGGGGGACAGGTTAAGAAGTGTTCAAGAGTCCAATAGCAGAGGGGAAGAAACTGTTCTTGTGGCGGGAGGTTCTAGTCCTGATGGACCGCAGTCTCCTGCCTGAGGGGAGTGGTTGGAATAGTCCATGTGCAGGGTGAGAGGGGTCGGCTGTGATACGACTAGCTCGAGCTTGGGCGACGTACAGGTCCTGCAGCGATGGAAGGCTGCGGCCGATCACTTCCTCTGCAGAGCGCACAATGCGCTGTAGTCTCTGTTTGTCCCTGACTGTGGCTCCAGCGAACCACACGGTGATGGAGGAGGTGAGGATGGACCTGATGATGGCCGTGTAGAACTGCACCAACATCTGTGCAGGCAGCTTGGCTTTCCTGAGCTGCCGCAGGAAGTACATCCTCTGCTGGGCCTTCTTGATGAGGGAGCTGATGGTCGGCTCCCACTCGAGGTCCTGGGTGATGGTGGTGCCCAGGAAACGGAAGGACTCCACGGAGGTGATGGGGGAGTCCATCACGGAGGGTGGGGGCGGGGGGACAGTGCTCTTCCTGAAGTCCACAATCATCTCCACTGTCTTCTGGGCGTTCAGCTCCAGGTTGTTACCACTGCACCAGGACACCAGCCGGGCCACCTCCCTCCTGTAGGCGGACTCATCGTTGTTGGAGATGAGTCCAATGAGGGTGGTGTCATCCGCGAACTTGATCAGCTTCACGGAGTCGTGGCTGGAGGTGCAGTGGTTGGTGTACAGGGAGAAAAGCAGGGGAGAAAGAACACAGCCCTGTGGGGGTCCTGTATTTATAATCCGAGAGTCCGAGACATTCTTCCCCAGACGCACTCGCTGCTTCCTGTCCGTCAGGAAGTCAGTGATCCACCTGCAGGTGGAATCGGGCACGTTGAGCTGGGAGAGCTTGTCCTGGAGCAGGGGTGGCAGGATCGTGTTGAAGGCAGAGCTGAAGTCCACGAACAGGACCCTGGCGTAGGTCCCCGGGGAGTCCAGGTGCTGTAGGATGTGGTGGAGGGCCAGGTTAATGGCGTCGTCTACAGATCTGTTGGCTCTGTAGGCGAACTGCTGGGGGTCCAGGAGGGGGAGGTGAGGGACTTGAGATGGGAGAGAACCAGGCGTTCAAATGACTTCATGACGACAGACGTAAGTGCTACAGGTCTGTAGTCATTGAGTCCTGTGATCCTGGGCTTCTTCGGGACGGGGACAATGATGGAGGATTTGAAGCAGGCCGGGACATGGCAGGACTGCAGAGAGGTGTTGAAAATGTCAGTGAACACAGGAGTAAGCTCACTGGCGCAGTGTCTCAGAGTGGCCAGAGACACGTGGTCCGGGCCAGGAGCTTTGCGGGGGGCAAAGCTCCTGGCCCGGACCACGTGCAGCCTCAAGAAGAGTTGTTTGATATCTTTAGAGGCTATTGTCAGGGTGGGGGCAGGGCTGATGGGTGGGTCGTTAGAGTAGTGGGGGGTGGGGGAGGTGTCATTGGCAGCATCAAAGCGACTGAAAAAAAAGTTCAGGTCGTCAGCTAGCTGGTTGAAGACATTGCACTCTTTAGCCAACTGGTTCCCTATTTTGCCAAAATGATTTTTCTGGCCTTTCCCATACTCCCAGCATTCCTTGAGCACCTGTTTGGTGGGATGGGACTCGCCATGGCTCTCCAGATGCAGCCAGTAATTTACCGTAATCTGTTTCCTTCTCAAATCCAGTGGCATTTGTCCCATTCCCACTTGCAAGGCATTTATAAGAGAGGTTTTAAACGCACCACAGCACACTCTCAAGGCTTGGGCTTGTATTATGTCCAGCCTCTTCAACACAGATGGAGCTGCTGACCCATAAGCTACAGAGTCCATTATTGACTTTATTAATGCTTGGTAAAGCCTCACAAGTGTAGAGCAGCTTGCTCCTCAATTTCTCCCAGCCACACCTCTCATCACATTTATCACCTTTTTACATTTTCCATCAATTCTATCAACATGATCTCTCCAAGTCAAATGGGAGTCAAAAATAACACCCAAAAACTTAAATGAGCTTACTTTCTAAATTTCCTCTCCATAGAGCTGTAGTTTTAAATCTTCTCCAACTCTTTTCCTGGTAAAAAGTTAGTTTTTTCCACTGAGAATCTAAACCCCAGTCACATCCCCACTCCATCACACAACTGACAGCATCTTGTATCTTGCCAACAAGATATTCAATGTTTCTCCCTCTACACCATAACGCCCCATCATCTGAAAACAAAGACCTGCAAACACTGCCGGGCACTGTAGAGAACACATCATTGATCATGATAATAAAAGCAAAGACTTATTGCACTACTTTGATGAGTTCTATTGTCCACTGTATACTGGTTAGAATACTTTGATGCAATCCGCACCTGGATTTTCTGTCCAAAGAGGAAATCTCTGATCCAGTTAAAGTCCTTGCCACAAATCTTAGGCCCATACAACAGCTACAACAGACTCTTTCTTAACCAGGGCCTTCCTGATCACGTTCTCAAGTCTGACAATCACATCATTGGTATTCCTTGCCCTTTGAAAAACACTCTGAAAACTAGCCAAAACCAACAGTTTTTCTCAAGCTTAAATGATAACCTCTCTGCAATCACACGTTCCATAATTTTACATATGTTCGACATCAGGGCAATTGGCCGGTAGCTGCTCGGCTTTGATGGATCCTTCCCAGGCTTTTTGATAGCCACAATGACAGCCTCCTTCCAGGAGCTGGGGAGCTTCCCCTTGATCCAAACTTTATTGTACAGGAGCAATAGCTTTTCACTCCCCAAGTTACTCAGAATAGAATAGCATACTTGATCTTTACCGGGAGATGTTGGATTTGCTTTTCTTAGCTCCCTGTTCACCTCATCCATAGCAATTGGATGTCCAAATCCCAATCCGGTCTGTCTCCTCCCATCCTCCTAACCATCCTCCTGACTTCTCCTACAGGAGTGGTCCTCCCGATCTTCGAACAGAAGCCTCTCCAACTTGCTCTCTTTTTGTCTGCCTCACAGTCCTTCTAACAACTGCTTGCGCTCTCTTATGTAGAATTAAATGCTGCATATTGAGAGTTCTCCTAAAAAGCCTAAAAGCTCTATTCCTTACTTTGACAGCTTTTTGGCCTTCCTCTGTCCACCAAGGAACAAGGGCTCTGCGCTGTCCAGGTTTACTTGTAGGTATGCAATGTTCTGCCGCCTCCATCATTACCTGCACCAACTGATTGTTCATATTATCCATGGTATCTGAGTCAATGACAATACCCATCCCCTCCTCACACATCCTTTGAAATATCTTCCCGTCAGCTCTGGAGAAGACCCACCTTTGAACTCCTTCCCTATAGGTACAGGTGTAGAATAGGGTAATGGTCACTCCCCAAAGTAGTATCTGACCTGAAAGTCCACTGGCTGGCTCCCGCAAATACATTAGACACAAGGGTTAAATCCAAGACAGACTCTGTCACAGAGTTAAACCTGGTACCTGCCCCATTATTTAAGCAGACTAGGTTTATCTCCTCCATTAGTTCCTCTATAATCCTATATTGACTACCCCATACTACCCCCTTACTATGGGCTTGAAGTCACCACACCAAATAATTATCTGCCGATCTTGTCCCTGAATGCCAAGTAGACTTTGAAGATCTAACCTGAGGCATGAGACTCTTCCACTGTCTCAAAGTCTGAGGTGTCTGTCACCATCTACAGCAGCAGTGACATCTAGCGGTTGAAATATGAACTGAAGAAACACAGAATCAACCAGATTCAAGCCGAAAACAACTGGAGGAGAGCAGGAGAAGCCCAGAGGAAAACTAGGAGACAGAGGTGTCTCTAGGCGGGGAAACACTTTGGATTCCCCCAGATGAACTAGAGGACGTGTGTTGAGTGAGAGGTCTGTCTCTCTGCGTAAACTGCCCCATGATAAAGCGGAAGAAAATTGAATTGAGTTTAATTGTAAAACTATTGAGCTAAAACTAAGAGTTAGTCAAAATCCAATAAAAATGACATAACTTTTATCTGACAGTATAAGCTACTGTCATAGTATCGCAATGTAGTACATATTATTACTTTGCACTACTTTGTATGTACTGTATGAAAACCCCCAGCAACAAACAGTTTCTATGATGTTGTTATTTTCTCCATACGTCACAATCCCACGTGCTTCTTCTATGCTTTTCAGTTTCATAACGTCATTTCTTGGAAGCACATTTGAGCAGTTAAGTTTTGTTTTAGCCTAAGCCCGCCCCCCACACTGTGACAGACATGAGAGCGAACCAATGACATCCCCAGAACTGCAGCAGCTTGACCAACCGCGTCTTCTCTGTGGGCTAACAAGAAACTGCCTCCCTCTGACGGACATTCTAGCGCCGGAGCGTCGACCGAGTCCTATTAATCAGAGCCACAATGGCGCCTGGTGCTTCCCATAGTTTCAGTCAGGGCGGTCCCTTGAGCAGCCAATAGAGGCTATTGTTGAGGTAAAGAGATACAACAAACACGCCTGCGAGATGTAGTTGTTGTCGACTTTCCATTTGAGTCACATTTCACAGGAAACAGGCGACTTTAATGCTGGTGCTTTCTTCATATTTTACAATTTGACGTCTTTTACACTCAGGTATGTTATTACGTTGATCCATTTTAGCTCAACCACAGTAATATTGCAACACATTCACCATTAAGGTTTCTATTCCCGTTTTGCTACAACAGCTAATCAGCTCGCTCACTTCTGTGCACTTTGTTCCTTGTGTTATGACATTGCTATTAACCCAAATGTTTTCTACCAACCTTCTTCTGACAGTGGCTTCTTTTGTTTGTAGCATGAGTCAGTGGGAGAAGCTGAGAAAACTGGCCCCTGTTTACACGCAGCAGGTGGATGGACTGTACGACAGGGACGACCTCCCGATGGACGTGAGGCATTACCTATCGGCCTGGATAGAGAAGCAAGATTGGTGAGTCTCCCTTTGTCATGTTTCTGATCTCATCCAAGCTCAGATTGATAATACTGGTTTGTTTGTAGGGAAAGAGCTGCAACAGACTATGGATTGGCCATTATACTGTTTCAACAACTGCTGGAAAATCTGGACATTCAACACAGTCGCTTCGTTCAAGAGGATTCTTTCCTGATGCAACATAACATTAGAAGATACAAGAACATCTTTCAGGTAAATGTGACCTTCACTGTCTCAGGTGTTAGATTCACGTCATTTGAATGTTTTTTATCTTTGTTTTGCAGAAGTACCAGGAGGAGCCGTGCATGCTGGCCGGCAGGATACAGTGGTTTTTGGACGAAGAGAAAAAGATTTTGCAAAGTGCAGAGTTGGCTGAACAGGTTTGACATAAGTCTTAGCAACTTATACGCACTGTCAATGTTATATAAAATTTTAAATAAATATTTTTTTAAATTTTGTCAAATTTGTCAAATTTAATGATTCCCAAATTCTTAAACAATACTTTAAATTAGAATTTCGTTGGTCAAATCTCTATGTGAAACTGTACGGTTTTTATCTTTTCTCACATGTTACCAGTGTTTTTCATTTATCTGAAACTTCTAAATCTATTAATTTGTTGGTGTAACGATAGTAATTGTGTGACGGGAAAGCTGGGGCAAAAATTAGATGGAGAGGCAGAATTATCTTTGGAGAGTCAATGATAACCAGTCTCCGTTTATTGCATGAACAGCACAACCCGACCGTTACTTTCCGGCTAGTTCAAATTCTAAAAGTTCACACAGCCCACTCGCGCATGCACACTCTAGCACACGCTTACAATTGTCTGTACTCTCCAATAATTTGTAAAGGGAAAAGTTTAGGGGAAACTCATTTAGAGATTTGTTTCTAATCTTGGTATGTTCTCGGAGGTTTCTTGGGCTCCCATGCTGTGGATAGTTTATAATACTGTTATACTGTAATATGTAGCATTATCTTTTGCATTTATTCCTGCATACTCATAGAAATACCTCATTAGTTGCACAAAATAGAGTAACAGTTGATGGCAATTTGTAAATCCTCTCTTCATTGCTGCAGATTTGTGCGAGTTAGATGATGTTTTCAAGCCACAAACTATAAATGAATATTTCTGCTTGGATCCTGCCCTCTCTGGGAGATCTTGTTCAGGGTCTGAGGAATGTGTCTGACTCTTCAGGTCCGACAGCTGTGTGTAGAGCAGCAGGCGATGGAGATGGACAGTGTGCAGGACCTGGAACAGAAGATGGCCGCCTTCCGGAACGAGGTGCAGGTGAGTTCTTGCCAGAGCTCGTGTCCGACCTCGTGTCCGCCTCGTGTCCACCTCGCCTTTCATCTTTATCTGACGGACGTAGTGATCATTTCGCTGGTCACCTTTTGCTGTTTTGTTAACTTTATTTTTTACAGCGCGCTTCTCATTTTCTGTGTGTTCATTCTAACATCATGTAGAACTTGTATCACAGACAATTAATAACCTTTATTTAGAGTTAGAACAAAACTTTGTGGCCTGCATGTAGGGGTGGGCAATAATTTTGTAGGAGATAATATCGCAAAAGTAACAATGAAGATAAGCTGTTTCACATTATCGAGATATTGGCTCTTTTTCACTTTTGCCACGTTTCCTGTTTGCCTTCTCTGTGCTGCACTCGTCCCCGCCTTGGCCCCTCCCCTCGCCCCTCGCGTGTGTCTCATTCAACACAGCAGCAGCGCCGCTTAGCTTGCAGCCGAGATTTCCAAATATCGTTATAAATTGTATATTGTGATAAGAAAAAAATATATTGAGATTTTTTTTCTCCATATCGCCCAGCCCTACTATTGTGACTGTTAACTGTGTTGGAGTGAACAACTCTTTTGGACTTAACACCTGCAGTAATTGTTGAACAATTCCTACAGTGCATGGAGTATTCCATTGTTTGTCTGGAAGATCAGCAAGATGAGTTTGATTTTAAATTCAAGACTCACCGCATGGAGGGTAAGATGGCCGCTACTGTTAAAGACAAAAACCTGAGTATATATTAAAGTGTTTGTGGATCTGCAGCTGTGAAAGACCAGAACGAGCAGCAGACCCAGCTCCGACTCCTCCAGTTATTGGTGAATCAGTTAAACACCTGCAGAAAGGTAAGAATCAGTATTATTCGTATGTCACGTTCTAAAAACATGAATATTCTCAGTATCATTTTTAAAGCTGGGGAACCTCATTTTCAAACCTCAAAGAATTAACAATCTTATCAAATCCATTCAATCTAGTTCAGGATCTTCAAACCTGTAGCTACAGGGGTTCACTCCAACCAAACAGGAGCAGAACAGACCCCACACAGTTCCTCAAGTGAGTCCAGTACCTGGAAACTAGAGTTTGTGTGCTCCTAATTGGTTGGAATGAACACCTGCAGCCCTCTGACCCTGGTGCAATTGGAGTGAACACCCACAGCCCTCTGACCCTTAACCCTGGTGCAGTTGGAGTGAACACCTGGCGTCTGTGCAGAATATGCTGCGGGGACTGGACAAGCTGCTGAACAGAGCTGTGGATCTGATGAAGACTGTGATGCAGGAGCTGGAGCAGTGGCAGCGGCGACAACAGAGAGCGAGTATCGGAGCTCCTGAACAAGTTAGCCTCGACCAGCTCGAGAAATGGTAAGAGAAGGAGAGAGGGAGGAGGAGGAGCAGTGACAGCGGCGGCAGCAGAGAGTCTGTATTAGAGCTCAGGACCATGTTAGACTTGACCAGTTTGCGGAGGAGGAGGGAGAGATGGAGGACAGGCAGCTCACTCAGCTATAGAGTTAATTTTACTTTTACACATAAACGCCGCTCTGACTTCAGCCCGACTCTGCCACAATAAAAATTCGCATATTGATACTCTAACCGTGACCCTACAATGCACGGAATGCAGTTTAGCGTTCAACCAGAAGTGAAATGGTGCTGTGAAATGTTAGAGATATATTACGTTAGTCTAAGCTGCCATTTCTATACATTAGTTACATTATACATGGATTTCTACTGAGAGGGATTTAAAAGTGATTGTACCAAAGGTGAGGCCTCTGTTGCAGGTTCACGTGTGTTGCACTGAGTCTCTTTCAAGTCAGAGAGTTTCTGCGGAAACTTGACGAACTGTCAGAGAAAGTATCTTACGAAAATGACCCACTGAAAACTCAGAAACCTCTGCTGCAGACGAGAGCCGACAAACTGCTGTGCAATCTCCTTCTCAGGTGAGAGACTGAGGCTGTAGACTGGACTGAAGCTGTAGACCAAGAACTAGGTTGTAGACCCAGGACTGAGGCTGTAGACCCAGGACTGAGGCTGCAGATCCAGTGCATGTAAAATGTTTTATATATTTTGCATTACTTTCTGTAGTTCGTTTGTGGTTGAGAATCAGCCGTCGATGCCGCAGGGGAAAGGTCCTCTGGTGCTGAAAACCAGCTCCCAGTTCTCAGTCAAAGTCAGGTGAGAAACTGCTCATGATTTAATATTCACATTTACTCTAATCTGTCTCTGTATCTGCAGGCTGCTCGTTAAGTTTCCAGAACTCAATCACTCAATGAAAGTGGAGGTGTCTATGGAGAGGTAGGAATATGAGAGACCAGAGAGAGAGACCAGAGAGAGAGACCAGAGAGAGAGACCAGAGAGAGAGACCACAGAGGGAGACCAGAGAGGGAGACCAGAGAGAGAGACCACAGAGAGAGACCACAGAGGGAGACCAGAGAGGGAGACCAGAGAGGGAGACCAGAGAGGGAGACCAGAGAGGGAGACCAGAGAGGGAGACCAGAGAGGGAAACCAGAAGAGAAACGAGAGAGACCAGAGACAAACCAGAAAGCGGTGATTGTCCTACTCTAACATTGTGTTCCGTGTCTTTGCAGCAATTCTCCTCAGACCAAAGCGTGAGTTTCTTTTTTCAATGCTGCTGCTTTTCCCCTGAGACTGTGGTCTCAGTCCTTTCTCTTGTTTTGTTTCAGATATCGACGTTTTAATGTTTTAGGGACAAAAAGCAAAGTTCTCAGCATGAACGAGAGCCACAGCGGAGGCTTCGTGGCAGACTTCCGACACCTGGTCAGTCCACACACTAGCTAAGATCGGTGGTTAGCGCTGGTGGCTCACAGCAACAGGGTCCCGGGTTCGATACCAGACAGGGCCGTTCTGTGTGGAGTTTGCATGTTCTCTCCCGTGTCTGTGTGGGTTTCCTTCCGGTGCTCCCGTTTCCTCTACCTCTAAAAACACCAAGACTTATAGACCACCTGATAGTGGAATGCTGTGTTGACTTTTGATGATAAAAGCTTTGAAAAAACGTTCTGTTTCTGAGCTTCATGTCCTGTGCTCTGTTCATTTCAGACTAAACTAAAACTAAACTAAGCCAGTTTTTGTTTGGTCTCGGGACTCATAAATGTTTGTGTTTGGTGCAGAGTCTAAAGGAGCAGAAGTCTGGAGGAGGAGGGAAAGGCTCTAACGAAGTGAGTACAAATACATGTTTTTATTTAGTAAGTAATCAGTTTATTTGCATAGCAAACAGTTCATACATGAAGCAAAACAACGTGCTTCACAAAACACATGAAAGCATACACAGGAAAGTAATCAGTAGAAATGCACCAAAACCATTTTTTCAAAACCAACAGGAGCTGGTAGGAGTAGAGTACCTTAATTCGAGTACTTGCCAATTCCAGTATTTTAACAATAAGATAAAGCTTTAAAAATTTCAACATTTTAGATATTGTTTTAACAGTCAACAATAAGAGCCACTGTCATACTCCTCGTATCCAAATGCTATGTTGTAGAGTTGGGTTGTTCTCCGGGGCTAGCAAATGTGATATACTCCGAGTAGTGGTGAGTTTTCAGATTTTTGATCAAGTTGCTGGTGTTTTACGTGTTTGTTTCGGACCCACCTCGTGACAGTTTTTCCTTACACAACGTACAGTCCACTTTACTCTTTTCAGTGCTATCTCGCTGCAGACTTTCGGAGATCACCATCACAACACGGGCTGCACAGCTGTCTCTAGAAATAGAATGGAAGACAGTAAAAAAGTCCTGGTCGCAGTCCTGGTCTCAGTCCTGGTCTCAGTCCTGATCTCAGACTTGGCCTACAGCTTTATGCATGAACCATATGTGATGTATTAGTCAAAAACCTGTTCTACTCCTCAGTGGCTTTTTTTAAGCTATTCCATATTTGCATTGGATTAGTATTACCTAAGAGCCTCTGGTTATTTTCAAATTTCCGCCCCACCTTTGTAATACTTGCAGCACATTCGCACGGGATAAGCAATGTCTGTAAACTACTACATTTTCACTGACATCACATAACTGCCGCATGTGAGCAAGTCTCCCTTTCACGCAACCCAAAGGATCCTTGCAGTGATGCTGCTCCAGTCAAAACCAGTGGGGGAGGGTCCCAGCTCAAAAGTGGCCAAAATGACGTGCGCTGACATGCTTGCAATACCACCCCGGGCCGATGGGGGTGGACCCAGAAGAAGAATTAGCAAAATGCTAACATATAGCTTTAGCAGACCTCTCAAAAACGTCTTTACAGGATGGGCCAAAAGTTGGCTCTTGGCCCAAAGCTCCGTTCCACATGTGTATCAATGCTGAGGGGGGTGATTTTTTTTGGTCCGCTCTAGTTTACCCGCGGGGAATTTTTGAAGTCTCTCGTTCAAATGAGCCGACGCATGCACAGATGCGTTTTTTCAAAAATTTCTTGTGGGCGGGACCACTCGCAGCCATCTTGGATTGCTCCATGAAAGCACTTTTCATGGCCAACTCCTATGAACGGCGGAGATAGGCGTGACTCTGTCCATTAATATATAGAGTCTATGGTCAAAACACATGGGAAACATGTTTGTGCTGATGGTCCGTAGCACTGTATCAGCTCCACACAGCACTTGGAGTAGCTGGAGGAGCAGCCACAGAGACGATGAGGACACACTTATACATGTGGATATTACTGCTCTACAGTTCTCTGGCCTGTACTGTCCTCTACACTTCTCAATAGACTTCACAGGGACAGCATCAGCCGCGTCTCTGCCGGTGTGCACACAGCCGCAAAATGCAAGTCTACTACTCTGTTCAGAGAGGCGTTTGTTACTCGCTGCGTTTACAATGTTTGCGAGCCGTATTATAGTTTGCTCCTAAAAAGCTTCAAAACTGGGAATCAACATTTCTACTGCAGCCTCCATGGTTCGAGCCGGGAAGAGATATAAAAAGACGCATGGTATCGACAAAAAACAATGCAGAAAGTGGAGAAGGTGGCAGATTCGCGCAGGATTACTATTATCACCGGAGGTCTGTGATTGGAAAAATACAGGAGGTAATTTGCGGATGGATTTTTATCTTACAAATGAAAAGACATGGCGCATTCGCACGAGACTAAAATCTTAGATGTCCTCCGCGATGATCACTAATTACCTGAAGCCCACAGGTAATACTAATCCCATGCGAATAGGGCTTACTGTATGTCTCCTCTGTCACAGAACCTTCTTAGAACCTCCTGATGCCTTCAGTGCTGGTGTCAGTGACCTCTGACTCTAACTTTGTGTTTCTCAGATCTCTCTCAGCGTCACAGAAGAACTCCACATCATCAACTTTGAGACCGACTTTAACTTCAAAGGGATGTCGCTGAAGATGCAGGTGAATTCTGTAGTTAGGGTTGTATATTTCTGACCGTGGAACACTGTGAGCGTTTTGAACTATCAGAGCGCTCGAGACGAGCGCAAGCAGAGGCACAAAAGTGTGGATGTTATTGAAAACCGATAGATTTCCAAAGATAATAGAGTCCAGGAGGAGGAGACGCTGAAATGTTCCTTTGTGAAAGCTGTAGCTCCTCGTCACCCAGGTGTCGTTGTGTTTTCTCAGACCTCGTCTCTGCCATTTGTGGTCATCTCCAACTCCAGTCAGCAGCAGAGCGCCTGGGCCTCAGTGCTCTGGTTCAACCTGCTCAGTCACGATGCAAGAGTGAGTGTGTGTGTGTGTGTGTGTCTGTCTGTCTGTGTATAATGAAGTTAGCTGATAGCAATGACTAAAAACGGGAGAAGCTGATTAGCAATGGTTAGCATGCTAATTATGTTAAAACTATCCAAACTAATTAGCATAATTATTAGGTTAATAAGAAATAGAATTTACACGAAACAGGTTCTAGCAGCATAAACATACAAATATACTAACTTAAGCCTAGTGTATACTTGCGCGGCGCTGCTTACGTTAGCGGTTGCGGTGTACCTCCGCAAGCACAATTTAATTTATACTCCTTGCGGAGTTTTGAGGAGAATGTTTTAATCGCACAACCAACCACACGATGGCGATCTCACAGGAGTTGCTTGAGCTACCAAACCGGTCTCATTTACGCTGCTATTTTCTCCACTTCAGAACAAAAACATGAACAAACCGAGCTGTTTGAGCTCATTACATGTGTTTCAACTGTAGGTTTATGTGATAGTTCTATGGACTCATTATTTCTTAACTCATTTAACTGTGATTTTGTGAATAAAGACACAGTTCTTGTTGGAAACAAAGTTATTATTGAATTAAATTCATCACAAACAGCATACAAAAAGTGGTAAATATCTGAGGCAAACATGAACAATTTATAAGTGCAGGAGGAATGGAACAGACGCGATAAGCTACGAGTGCAGATTCAAACAAAGACAGGAACAGTGCAAAAGAAACGACTGCACAGTTTATAAGTTATATATATGTTAGATATGCAACATAACTCTAGTCCACAGTCTCCGTGTATATCGGGCTCTGCCATGAGCCCAAAGTACTTTTCCTTTGGTTTCTTCAAAGCGTGAAGCAGTCTGCTCCATAGTGCCTCGTCCATGCTCCTGCAGCCGCTCCGTGCTTCCTTCCAATACACACACACGGACCAATCACAGCGGAGCTTCCTTGCGACGACCCTTACGTGGTTAGAAAATTTCGATGCTGCGCGGCAGGCAACGTAAGGGCCTTGCGGTGACCAACGCGTTGCGCAAGTGACGTAACGTCACCTCCGTAAGCTCCGCGTCGCGCGAGTATACACTAGGCTTTAAATAGAGATAATTTTGCTTCTGCAGTTTCACATGCATCCACTAGAGAGCAGCAAACTCCACGTATATCTTTGAGACACCTGTTATTTTACGTTTTGTACTGATTTAGACATTGTATTTCCCACAGGACGTTACCTTCTTCGCCTCGTCTCCCTCATCCCCATGGCCTCAGTTTGCAGAGATGATGAGTTGGCAGTTTCTCTCTGCGACAGGACTCGGACTAAACCAAGCACAGACAGAAATGATCGCCTTCCGACTATTTGGTATGAGTTTATTATTATTATTATTAGCATTTTTATTTTCATTATAATTATTATCATTATTATTATCATCATTCTGTGTGCATTACATGTTTTTCAATATTGTTTTTGTTTCAGGAAAGCAGCAGAGCTATGACGACTTAAACGTGTCTTGGGCTAAATTCAGCAAAGTAAGTTACAGACAGATTTATTGCAGATTTATATATGTCAGGCCTTGACATTAAGTTTTGCCAAACACTTGCCCATAAGTACCATTTCTATTTTACTTGCCCAATGTCAAAAGTTGCTTTCCCAAAAATTAGCTATTAAAAGAAATCCACTCTCAGCCCAAAACGCAAATAATGACTCACAGGGCTCTTAAGTTTGCAAAATATAAAAAAAGAGACTCCTGTTGTGGTTTGTGCTGTTTGATTTGTTCACAACATTTTACTTGGGTGCACAACCAACATGCAATTGAAAATTTAGGTACCCAAGCTTTAACTTTGTGAGTTTTGGTTGTGCTTCGGTGGGAGACACAAGGATGACCCGCACTTCCAACATGCTGGAGATGGTCCTGAATGTGTGTCTATGGTCCTGTCCGCATGTCTATGGTCCACGCTCAGTACCACGTTACGGCTGTGAGTTTGCTGAGCTGTTTAAGCGGCTGTTGTCACAAAGCGGCCACAGTTTTTCCCGGGCTCAGAGCGGAGGATGTCAATTGCGTTAAAGTTTGTACAACAAACCGAAAGTGCCTGCGGTCACATATTTCACAGAAATGACATTTACCAATGAAGAGAAGTGGTCAAAAAAAGATAAACAGATATGTCCGCTCCCGGCTCTAGATGAAGAAATCTTCCCGGCCTGAATGGGTTAAAGTAATACATGAATTGCCCAATTAGGCAACTTGCTAAGACAGCGTACTTGTCCGTCCCAAATGTTTAGTTGCCCCGGGCAAGCGAACCATCGTTAATGTCGAGCCCTGTATGTGATTTACATACATGTTACATATATCATATACAGCTACATGTTTTATATATACAGTGCCTTGCAAAAGTATTCGGCCTCCTTGAACCTTTCAACATTTCGCCACATTTCAGGCTTCAAACATAAAGATATAAAATTTAATTTTTTGCACATCGAGAGACTGGAATTCTTGCCCATTCTTCCTTGCAAAACAGCTCGAGCTCAGTGAGGTTGGATGGAGAGCGTTTGTAAACAGCAGTCTTCAGCTCTTTCCACAGATTCTCGATTGGATTCAGGTCTGGACTTTGACTTGGCCATTCTAACACCTGGATACGTCTATTTGTGAACCATTCCATTGTAGATTTGGCTTTATGTTTTGGATCATTGTCCGGTTGGAAGATAAATCTATGTCCCTGTCTCAAGTCTTTTGCAGACTCCAACAGGTTTTCTTCCAGAATGGTCCTGTATTTGGCTCCATCCAGGGCTGGACTGGCCATCGGGCGTACCGGGCAATGCCCGAAGGGCCGATGCCCATATATGGGCCGGTCTGTCGGTCTGTCATACAAAAAACATGTTTGTGAAAAGTGTAAATCCGTTGAGAAATGTTTGAGGGGAGCGCGCGTGTCCGCGGAGCACCTGCTGTCGAACGGGATTCCACCACCTCAGCGGCCGCAGTGTTCCCGCATCCAGCGGCTCTGAGCTGGACGCAGGAACCGCTCACCGGGAACCGCTCACAACACAACACGGTGAGCGCGTGGCCGCAACGTGACCATGTACCCAAGACCATAAACGCACACAGGACCATGCATGTCTTTTCGTAATTTGTGCACCCAATAAATACACCGCTGCAGAAAACAGTCCGCGTCTCCCCTCTCCTCTAAATTAAAGCTCGGGTACCTAAATTTTCCATTGCATTAAAAGTTCATGTTTAAGCCCAAAAGTAAAATGTTGTGAACATATTAAACAGATTTAGAGCCAGCAAATGGCTGACAATATGCATTTCAGAAATGTTTACCAATTCTCATCCCTGTAACAAACAATATAGTATTGTCTGTGCCACCTCCCTCACTCTGAGACATGTTTATTACTCTGTTTAATGTAGACTATTGTACTGTATTTTATTGTTGAAACTACATACATCCTGATCCTCTACAGTATTTGCTTCCACATACTGTATAAACCAGGGGTCGGCAACCTTTAGTGCCCCTAAAGTGACTCCTGGAGCCATTTAAAAAACGTCTGAAAATGGAGTGTGAGGGCTATATTTTATTTCTAGTTTCAATGTGGTTTCTGTAGGAGGAAAAACATTCTTGACGTTTTTCAATGCTGCAAAAACTTGTATAAGTAATATTCAATTTTAGCATTTCTGTCAACGTAGTGCGTCATATCCTGTGACGCGGCCCGTGCCAGGCGGCCGCTGTTGTAAACAAACCGGCGTGTGTGCATTATAGACTGTGTGTGCGCATGGATCCCAAAGATAAAGAGAGAGAGTCGATAAGACTGGACTAAGAATGAATATGAACATTTGCTTTCAGTCAATGAGGAAGGACTGCTTCATGTTTGCGATGTAATGAAAAGTTTTGTTGCAACAGGAGGAACAATGAAGCTTTAAACACCGTTCACTGAAGGATTAATTCATCATAAAGTCAGAGCACCTATTTTCAAACTTCAAATATTTTCGCAAAGGCCATTTAGGACATTCAGCTCCAGCAAACTTCAGCCTGTGATGGATATGAACAGACAGTGATGCAGGTGAACTCGGAGCCAAAAAGCAGATTTATTTACTGTATTTGTACAATTTCATGAAGGCAAAAAAATGGAAGTTAAACTTAAAGCAGAGTTGTCACGTAGTGCGTCATTCTCTCCAGGACACGCTGCAATGAAAATACACATTTGATAATCCTGAATGGTTTTTAAGTGTTTGTAGCCTTTACTTTGTCATTTAGATATTAGGCTAATGTAGCTAATGTAGCTAATACAGCTTCAGCCCCTGTTACCTTCATATAAGCCTTATACAACGCTTTTTTTTTTTTTTTGTGGCTCCAGACAGATGTTGTTTTTAGTTTTTTTGTCAAATATGGCTCCTTGAACCTTTTGAGTTGCCTGGGCCGCTAAAAAGGAAAAAATGCCCGGGCCCTTTTTTTGTCCCAGTCCAGCCCTGGCTCCATCCATCTTCCCATCAATTTTAGCCATCTTCCCTGTCCCTGCTGAAGAAAATCAGGCCCAAACCATGATGCTGCCACCACCATGTTTGACAGTGGGGATGGTGTGTTCAGGGTGATGAGCTGTGTTGCTTTTATGCCAAACATATCGTTTTGCATTGTGGCCAAAAAGTTCGATTTTGGTTTCATCTGACCAGAGCACCTTCTTCCACAGGCTTGTGGCAAACTTTAAACAAGACTTTTTACGGATATCTTTGAGAAATGGCTTTCTTCTTGCCACTCTTCCATAAAGGCCAGATTTGTGCAGTGCACGACTGATTGTTGTCCTACGGACAGACTCTCCCACCTCAGCTGTAGTTATCTGCAGTTCATCCAGAGTGATCATGGGCCTCTTGGCTGCATCTCTGATCAGTCTTCTCCTTGTTTGAGATGAAAGTTTGGAGGGACGGCCGGGTCTTGGTAGATTTGCAGTGGTCTGATACTCCTTCCATTTCAATATAAGTGCTTGCAGTGCTCCTTGAGATGTTTAAAGCTTGGGAAATCTTTTTGTATCCAAATCCGGCTTTAAACTTCTCCACAACAGTATCTCGGACCTGCAAACAATAGTTTTAGTCTGAGTCTAAACAGAAAGACAGAATGTTAATAATTTTAATTGATTTATTGTTATAATAAACAAATACTGTACACTATGTTGACATTTATCTTTCCATTCCACCATTTACTGAAAATATGGCATCATTTTGTCAATAGTTTGAAATGCGATTAATTACGATTAATTCATTTTTAAGCTGTAATTAACTTGATTATATATATATATATACAGAAAGTATTCGGCCCCCTTGAACCTTTCAACATTTCGCCATATTTCAGTCTTCAAACATAAAGATATAAAAAATTAATTTGTCATGAATCAACAACAAGTGGGACACAATCGTGAAGTGGAACGACATTTATTGGATGATTTAAACTTTTTTAAGAAATAAAAAACTGAAAAGTGGGGCGTGCAATATTATTCGGCCACTTTACTTTCAGTGCAACAAACTCACTCCAGAAGTTCAGTGAGGATCTTTGAATGATCCAATGTTGTCCTAAATGACTGATGATGATAAATAGAATGCACCTGTGTGTAATCAAGTCTCCGTATAAATGCACCTGCTCTTTGATAGTCTCAAGCCTAGCGTACATCGGACTGGCAACTGATTATATCCGTCGCCTCTGAGTTGCTGCCCCGCACACATCGACAATCTGGCAAAAACGGGCAACTCTGAGTCGCAGGCCAGTCTCTTGAATAACAGCGCGTACATCGACAGCAACTGGCCTCAACTACAGTGTGTTTTCTGACAACAAACTGTTGCGGGCTCGCAATACACGCAATACACACACGTTGTTGGAGCGGCGCATGGAGCGCGCACATCGGGGCAACTGAGGACAACTAGTTGCCGAAAAGTAGAACACGGGCAACTGACTGGAACTGGAGACCGACTGATCATCTCCAGTTGTAAGAACGCGCACATCGACCGATTTCGGCAACTGATCATCTCCCACCATCTCCTCTCAGTTGCCAAAAGCCGCCTTGCAACTAGTTGTCCCCAGTTTCTCTGTCGATGTACACTAGGCTTCAGGGTTCTGTTTAAAGCGCAGAGAGAACCATGAAGACAAAGGAACACACCAGGCAGGTCCGAGATACTGTTGTGGAGAAGTTTAAAGCCGGATTTGGATACAAAAAGATTTCCCAAGCTTCAAACATCTCAAGGAGCACTGTGCAAGCACTTATATTGAAATGGAAGGAGTATCAGACCACTGCAAATCTACCAAGACCCGGCCGTCCCTCCAAACTTTCATCTCAAACAAGGAGAAGACTGATCAGAGATGCTGCCAAGAGGCCCATGATCGCTCTGGATGAACTGCAGATAACTACAGCTGAGGTGGGAGAGTCTGTCCATAGGACAACAATCAGTCGTGCACTGCACAAATCTGGCCTTTATGGAAGAGTGGCCATTTCTCAAAGATATCCATAAAAAGTCTCTTAAAGTTTGCCACAAGCCACCTGGGAGACACACCAAACATGTGGAAGAAGGTGCTCTGGTCAGATGAAACCAAAATCGAACTTTTTGGCCACAATGCAAAACGATATGTTTGGCGTAAAAGCAACACAGCTTATCACCCTGAACACACCATCCCCACCTCAGCTGTAGTTATCTGCAGTTCATCCAGAGTGATCATGGGCCTCTTGGCTGCCTCTCTGATCAGTCTTCTCCTTGTTTGAGATGAAAGTTTGGTGGGACGGCCGGGTCTTGGTAGATTTGCAATGGTCTGATACTCCTTCCATTTCAATATAATTGCTTGCACAGTGCTCCTTGAGATGTTTAACGCTTGGGAAATCTTTTTGTATCCAAATCCGGCTTTAAACTTCTCCACAGCAGTATCTCGGACCTGCCTGGTGTGTTCCTTTGTCTTCATGGTTCTCTCTGCGCTTTAAACAGAACCCTGACACTATCAAAGAGCAGGTGCATTTATACGGAGACTTGATGATAAATAGAATGCACCTGTGTGTAATCATCAGTCATTTAGGACAACATTGGATCATTCAAAGATCCTCACTGAACTTCTGGAGTGAGTTTGCTGCACTGAAAGTAAAGGGGCCAAATAATATTGCAAATAAACTTTTTTATTTGTTAAAAAAGTTTAAATTATCCAACAAATGTCATTCCACTTCACGATTGTGTCCCACTTGTTGTTGATTCATGACAAAAAAAATTAAATTTTATATCTTTATGTTTGAAGACTGAAATATGGCGAAAAGGGGTTGAAAGGTTCAAGGGGGCCGAATACTTTCGCATGGCACTGTATAAATAAAAAATAATATAATTATGTATGTTATATATAAACTTTTGTTCCTGACAGGAGAATGCCCCACTGACCTTCTGGCTGTGGTTTGATGGTATTCTGATGTTGGTGAAACAATATCTGGCAGATCTGTGGAAAGATGGGTAAATACTATAATTTTATATCACATAATATTGTTCTTATACAGATATAAATATATACAGTTGACGTTTAAGCGGAAGTTTAAATTGGTAGACTGCCTACTGTGTCCAAAACCTTTAGTAAGAGGGTCACTTTAGTTCACCAGACTAGTCCAGGGGCCAAAATCACAAACTGAAAAACTGGCCTGACTGGTGAAGAGGATGACAAAGTGGGATTGTGTCTTTAATTCAGACAGAAGACATGTTTTATTGTCGTTGGTACAGACAGCACGAACACAAACGTTACAGAATGCAAGTGATAATATACAGCATGGAGGAATGAACACACCGTCCAATCAGCTTTCGCCGCGATGCCAGTAGCTTGGCCTTCAGAAATCAAAACATGCTGTGGAAAAGTACTGGTTTGTGCATATTGCTAGAATGATGAGTTGGAACTTTAACCACAGTTGCTTCAAAGTGTCATGAAATCTCTGTTTTGAGCTTCATAATGATCTTTAACTGAGCTTCAGTTGGCTGAATGACAAATGTTTACCATCTCACCAGCTACATTAGCACCATTAACGGAAGTGACACAATCAAAAACCATGTCAGTACAGTATGTGCAAATAGAGTCAATGACGTATTGGGCTTTAGAACAAGGTCTATATTGGCTGAGCTGGATGTTGGATGGATGACAAAGTGAACTTGTGTTTATGATCTCAAAGACTACTTTGGGTTAGCATTATAAATATATGCAGATATAAGATAAGTTAGCGCTGTTTAACAATATTTTATGTCCCTTGAATTATTTTACTCTTATCAACGTGGAAGTCTTGTATTTATGGTAAACGTGATGCAAAATGTCATACAATTCAATGTCAATAGATAGATGTATAACATAACATTTATAATTGGTAACAAAAAAGCCCCTTCAACTACCCTTTCTAAGGGATCAAAACAGGGTGATAGACAATAAAGTAACAAAGTGCCTAACACTTTGTTCTCAGTTGCGCAATCCATATGTCTTGACAAGAGCGTGGCGGAGGAGAGTTTGCATCAGCCATGTGTAGTGGATGTGCTACGGTGATAACTAACGCTAGCTCACACCCCAGCAATACACTCAGATAACTTTAGTTCAGTCGACATAACTTCAGTTATGGCAACTTTTTGAAACCAGTTGCTAGACAAACCTTTCTTTCACAGCGACCGAGCAGGTAACAGGCTAACAAGCAAAACACAAACCAAACACTAGCGTAGGGGATTGTGGGGCGGGGGGGACAACACTAATATGAATATATACAGATGTAAATATTTAACGCGTTTACGCAAATCAATATGAACGCTGTAATTTTAAAAAAATCACACTATTGATATGTGTGACCAACTTCAGTTGTAGTTCCTGTTAGTAGCGTTAAAAACACTACTGTGAAAAGAGACTGGTTTGTCTAGCGTGAAATGCCGAAATGGACAAGCTTCTGAAGGGAAAGCCTAGTTGCAAAAAGTTGCTAGATTGACAAGACTTAAGTTATCTGTGTGTATTGCTGGTGTGAACCAGTTATCGCCGTAGCACATCCACTTTGACTTACCACTTGATGGCCAAACACACGGCTGATGCCAACTCTCCTCCTCCGCCACGCTCTTGCCAAGACTGATGGATAGCGCAACTAAGAACCAACTGTCCGGCACTTTGCTATTTCATTTTGTATCACCCTGTTTTGATTCCCTAGAAAGGGCAGTTGAAGGGGATTTTTACCAATTATCGCATAAAGGCCCGACACACCTGGTAAAACATACCTGTAAAACCTACGGCCGACTTGAGAACCACCCTCCAAAACCTGAAGTTTTCCTGAAATTCAATGTCTACAGAATGATTATCTCGAAACATAGAAACATAATTCCAAAAGAATTTGAGAGCTGACATTTGTGGCTTTAAATAAGAATGCAGCGTATTATTATAAACCTTCAGTAGAATAATACAAAAATAAACAACTTCTACAAAGGACAGATAATAAAATAACCAAAAACAATGTGAGAACAACACATGTTTCTCAATACAATAAGTCAAAAACTATGTGGAAAAAAATATTTAAAAAGTCCTCTCTCAGCCCTAAAAGTCAAATAATTACTCACAGGACTATTTTTTTGTTTTTTGTTTTTTCAAGTAAGCAAAATTTTAAAAAACACAACTGTTGTGGTTTGTTCTGTTGGATTTGTTCACAACATTTCACTTTTGTGCATGCATTGTCAATGCAAACAAAAATGTAGGTACCTGAGCTTTAATTCTGTGAGTTTTGGTTGTCCTTTGGGAGGAGACACGGGAGAGACGGGGAAGACAAACAATACCCGCACATGCAACAAGCTGGGGATGGTTCTGTCCGCAATCGGTACATGACCCCGTTATGGCTGCGCGTTCGCTGAGCTGTTGTCAAAGCGGCCACAGTTTCTCCCGAGGTCAGAACGGAGGACTTGAATCCCGTTCGAGTATGTACAGCAAACATCCCGCGGTCACACATTTCACAGAAATGACATTTTCAAGAAAAAGTTGGAATTCGCGGATCCACAGAAAATTTTCATCCCTGGTTTACCCTGATGCATTTCATTGGTCAAGAGAATTTACCAATGAAGAGAATTGGTCAAAAAAGATAAACAGACGTGTCCGCTTTCCCGGCCTCGAAGGTAGAAATGCACAACAGCGCTCCCAGCTCTGAAGTAGAAATGAGGGAATGCTTTCCTGGCTTCAATGGTTAAAGACGTTAAACGTCTGTGTTATGACAGCATTGAATTGTATGACATTTTGCATTAAGTGTGAGTGTGAAATCTAACACTTAAAAAAAACAAAAAACAATTTGTGACGTTTATAAGATGATTAAAATGATGATTCGACGGACATAAAGAATAGATAAAAAAGTTGCGATTAATCGCGAGTTAACCATGACCTTCATGCGCATAATCCTAATTAAAAAAGATAATTGTTGGTCAGTGATGATAAAGACATACAGATAAAAAGATATAGACGCATATGAAAATATTGTTTACATTATAGAAAAAGCTCGTATGAACCCAATCCTCTACTTCATTGCTATAAATTGTTTTTTTTCCCAGTGCTCAAATGATTTAGCCCTGGATCACTAAAGTGGTCTCTGAGTCTGCGCCCGAGTCTGAATCTTAGCCAGAGCCTGAATCACATACTACTGATTTTGGCTTCTTCCAGTCTTGTGTATGAATACCTCCTTTTGAGACAAAACTTTTGTCCCTCTGTGTTTCAGTCTGATCATGGGTTTTGTTCCTCTGTGTTTCAGTCTGATCATGGGTTTGGTTCCTCTGTGTTTCAGTCTGATCATGGGTTTTGTTCCTCTGTGTTTCAGTCTGATCATGGGTTTGGTTCCTCTGTGTTTCAGTCTGATCATGGGTTTGGTTCCTCTGTGTTTCAGTCTGATCATGGGTTTTGTTCCTCTGTGTTTCAGTCTGATCATGGGTTTGGTTCCTCTGTGTTTCAGTCTGATCATGGGTTTGGTTCCTCTGTGTTTCAGTCTGATCATGGGTTTGGTTCCTCTGTGTTTCAGTCTGATCATGGGTTTGGTTCCTCTGTGTTTCAGTCTGATCATGGGTTTGGTTCCTCTGTGTTTCAGTCTGATCATGGGTTTTGTTCCTCTGTGTTTCAGTCTGATCATGGGTTTGGTTCCTCTGTGTTTCAGTCTGATCATGGGTTTGGTTCCTCTGTGTTTCAGTCTGATCATGGGTTTGGTTCCTCTGTGTTTCAGTCTGATCATGGGTTTGGTTCCTCTGTGTTTCAGTCTGATCATGGGTTTGGTTCCTCTGTGTTTCAGTCTGATTGTGGGTTTTGTTCCTCTGTGTTTCAGTCTGATCATGGGTTTGGTTCCTCTGTGTTTCAGTCTGATTGTGGGTTTTGTTCCTCTGTGTTTCAGTCTGATTGTGGGTTTTGTTCCTCTGTGTTTCAGTCTGATTGTGGGTTTTGTTCCTCTGTGTTTCAGTCTGATCATGGGTTTTGTGACAAAGGCCAAAGAGAAGAATCTTCTGAAGAGGAAGCAGAGAGGGACGTTCCTACTGCGCTTCAGCGAAAGTCTGATGGGAGGAGTTACCTTCTCCTGGAGAGACACCACCATCACCGGTCTGTTCACTCAGGTCTCAGTAGCAAGACGTGGTTATTTATCTGTGCCAAAAGGCCTGCTGTCGGTATCACTTGTCTCAGGGACTTGAGAAAAGTAAAGATGATAAAAGGAAGAGTATTGAGTTACTTTACAAAAAGACAAACATTTGAACTACTACAACTACTGCTATTACTACTACTATAACTGCTACTAATACTACTATTACTGATATTACTGCCCACAAAAAAAGCACACAGGCCGTGAAGGTGCAGAAGGTAGATGTAGTGAGTGAGGGACCACTATATTTACTTTTTAAAAGTTAAAGTTAAACATTTGTCAGTAGAATAAGTGCTAAATACTTAAAAGTAAAAGTCGTTACTTAAATAAAGGCAGTGGAAATAGTTTTATTCTAGATACTTCTAGAACTATGACTGCAATAAACCGCTCTTGTGTCGCAGGTGATCCAGAGATTAAAACCGTTCGACCTTTCACCAAAAGCGATCTGGATCAAATTCCTTTTCATGAAATAATACGGAACTTCCAGCTGATGGAGCAGGACAACGTTCCGGAGAATCCCCTGCTTTATCTTTATCCAAACATTCCCAAAGACGAGGCCTTCAGGAAGTACTACAGTGACAAGAGCGGAGGTGAGATGATACGGCATCAGGTTAGGCTGTGTTCACAGCTAAAGTGGGCCTAGGGGCTGTGTGACCGCGGCAACTGGGCTTCTGCTCTGTTGCTGCAACTGGACTCGCCTGGTGGCGAAGAGAAGGAAAGTATACATGTGTAAATATTGTGTTTCTATTTCAGAACAAAGTCCTTACATCGAATACATCAGAACAAAACTCATGTTCGTCACCACAGAGTAAGTTCCTCCACATGCAGAGAGACACCATGTGGATCCTGAGGCTCCTGAGGAGGCTCCTGGGTCTCACGGGGCTCCTGAGGCTCACAAGGAGGCTTCTGAGGAGGCCCCTGAGGATGCTCCAGGCTCAGAGTGTGTGTTGACAGTGTTTGTTTGTGTGTGTGTGTGTGTGTGTGTGTGTGTGTGTGTGTTGTTTGTGTAGGAACTCGTCAGAGGCTTCTGAGCTTTGTGCAGAGTCAGGTGAGTGGCTCCCTCTGCTGGTCACTTAGTACTACAGCAGGAGGTCAAACACTGAGATGATAAACTGTTGTCAACAGTATTAATGTGGTGTGTTCTTCATCATGTTAAAGTTTTACACAGGACTTCCAAAGTCTCCCAGAGCCGTCTTTTTGACTGCTCTCCCTCAATAACCTGCAATTCAGGAAAAAATCCCCAAAAGAGTTTGTTTTCCACCAGATTTGTTAAAAGTGATCCACAAACTTTGTACCTTTACTCACTTTTAATAAGTGCTACTGCTAGCAGTCCAGGACCAGTCCAGGACCAGCACCTTGTTGGTTGCCAAATGATCAAAACGGCTACATTAGTTTTACTTTAGAATTAACTCTAGTTCTCGCCTTTATAATGCAGAATTACAACGTAAAAAATATATTTTCATAAAAATAATGACAGAAAAACTACAGCTAAAAACAGGAAAAGTCAAAGTTATGAGGAGCAAGAGTCTACAGACGCTGAGTCTCTACGCTTAAAACTAAATCTCTGGGAGTCCTAGTGTTAAAATAACCATATAATGGAAGATCAATAGTAAACACTTCAGTCTCATCTGTTACATTTATAGTGTTTGGGTTTGGCTCTGAACCTTCAGAATGTTAGAATAAAAAGTTAAAGAAGACCCTGAGTTTGACGCCTCTGTGGTTTGACCTTCTGCATGACCCTGTCCCTTGTCCTAGTGACAATCACAGAACCTTCTTTAACCTGATCTTTCAAATCTTTGATTTATAGGGTTCTGTCTTACACAGAAGATCACTTTCTTTCACTTATCTCAGTGTGCCCCAGGGCAGCTGTGGCTACAGTAGTATTTTATGACCTTTGTGTTTGGAGTGACGCCTTTTTGAGAGAGTGGCTATGTAAAACCCCTGCATTATTATTATTATTATTAGTTGTTGTATTATAAAGATCTCCGGTGGGGAGATTTCAGAGTTATTATATTAAAGAAAGTCAGGTACCCCAGTTTTAATAATCCAATATCACATGTCGGATCCTATTGCATGACACTCTCTTTACTTTCTTAGATGTAAAAGAGGCTTTTGTCCATTTTCAATAGTTTCCATACCCAAGGTGTTATTCCTGATGTTTATATAATTCTAAACACAACAATAGATATAGAAACAGCAGGGACGTGCGGTGAGGTTTGTGATTGGGGAGGCACTGACTTTAAAAGTCAGATTTACAATCATTATTCAAATAAAATAGCATTTAATCACCAATGCAATGACATCCACAAACTTTATATACTGTAAAGATAAGAGAACCAGCTTCTTTTAATAATCTCACAACAAATCTAGCTGCTGACTCTGCTCCGCATCAAACAACATCTTTAAGAAGCGCAGGTGCGAGAGACGCGAGGAGAGAGAGACGCGAGGAGAGAGGAGCAGAGAGAGACAGAGAGGAGCAGAGAGACGGAGACGCGAGGAGCAGAGAGAGACGGAGACGCGAGGAGAGAGAGACGCGAGGAGAGAGGAGCAGAGAGAGACAGAGAGGAGCAGAGAGACGGAGACGCGAGGAGCAGAGAGAGACGGAGACGCGAGGAGAGAGAGACGCGAGGAGAGAGGAGCAGAGAGAGACAGAGAGGAGCAGAGAGACGGAGACGCGAGGAGCAGAGAGAGACGGAGACGCGAGGAGAGAGAGACGCGAGGAACATAAACAATAATTTAAACAAGTTGCAGAACTCTTGAGCAGTGTTTGAATCAGTGTTTTTCGGAAAAGCACTACTTTGCCGGTATCTGTCAATGTTCAACATAAAACACAGATTAACAAACTCCTCCCCCGCAGCCGGACTAACCTCGTAAGTCCAGTGGTGGTCTCCCAGTCTATATTAATTCTTTCTTTGTTTGAAAGTCCAATTGAGAAAAAAAATCTTCATTCAAATCATCCATTTTCCAGCAAAAGAAATAGCATTTTGGGCTGATTGTTTGTTAGCAACTCTGGTATGAACTTTATGCTCACTATCACCCCTAGCGGTGAGGCACAGATACCGCCTGCCTCACGCCAAGCTTTTTCCTTGTGTGTTCATCTACGATCAAAAGACTTAAACTAAATATAAATTGTACACACATACGTGCAATACACTACTAAACACTAAGAGGAGTTTAAAAAATGTTTTTAAAGCAGGATATTTGAAACAAACGGTGATATATCAACTGCACGAGCTGAGTGCACTCAGACACACACACACACACTGTGAGGGAGCGGTCTGGGGTGAGGCACGCAGGAGCGCTGCCTCACCTCGTCTCTTTGAATAGGAATAACGGGATTTCGGCGATTTTGACTTCAGAAATGATCAAAACTGATGGGAACCGTGCCGAATATACATTAAAAGCATAGGACAGTGGATATAAATTATATATTTAAACTAAAATAATTATTAGTTTCCAATAATGGCAGGTGAGGCTCTGCCTCCCCTGCCTCCCCTGACTGCACGTCCCTGAGAAACAGTACTTATCTTTGAGGACTTAACAAAGATGTCAATTCACCAACACAAATTGGCGAATCAAACAGTTCAAACACAGGAAATTAAATTATAACAAACACATGGAGACATTGGTCCTTGATGGGAAGAGACCAATGCCCTTAGAGCCTTCTGCATTAGACGAGCAACTCTTAAGACTGGTGGGAGAAAAGTGAGAAACCTCTGGGAGGCCCACATTGAGGGACGGATCTGCTCCGAAAGGGACGAAGGGTCTGTAGATCCAGGATTGAGGCTAGAGAAATATAGATTCTAAATTGGATTTGATTGATACTGTACTATTGAGATGGACACAGTTACTCTTCTACACGTTTCTTGTACTGGTCTCTGATTGATGGATACTAGTTTGGGTGAAGTTTTGGTTTTCTTGAATGTGATCTTATACTGAACTAACAATAACAATATTTCTGTGTGCTTCACACAGCTGGTCTGCCTCTGGTCTCTCTCATCTTTCTGCTCTCTCTCGGGTCATTCTGGTCTCTCTCTGGTCTCATTCAATGGTTGTGTTATTAACTGCACTGTTACATCTGTCTCTTTCAGAACAAACCACCATTGATTCGTCTGCTCTCACGTTGGAGAAGTTCCTCTCGGACCCTCTGCTGTCGCCCCCTGATGGTGCAGGTGCTGACTGTTCTGAGGTCCTTCTGTTGCCCCCTGGTGGTGCAGGTGTAGACTGTGCTGAGGTCGTTCTGCCGCCTTCTGGTGGTGCAGATGCAGCCTGTGCTGAGGTTCTTCTGTCGCCTCCTGGTGGTGCAGGTGCAGACTGTGCGGAGGTCCTCCAGTCCTCGGTCTTTGACTCGGTTCTGTTGAACTATGACCTGGTGTCGTCCGACTTCTACCTCCCTGAGCTCTCACACTTCTGCAGTGTCCTCCAGTAGTTTATACAGAGCTCCTTATTGATTTTTATTAATTTGTTCAAATTTGTATTTCTATTTATTTATGTCCCAGTTAAAGAAGCTATACCAGATTTATTTTCTAATGAGTTCATAAAAATGCGTATTACTACATACAAGTTGTATTAAAATCTGTAATTTAATTGAAAACGTGAGCTCACTGATTCATCTTGTGTATGAATTCAGGCCGTAAAAAGTGCTGAGTAGAGACTTAGCGTGACGCCCGCTCTCCTCCACTCACAGAAGGACGAGCAGCGCTGTTACAAAGAGGCTGCGCTCTCTTGCCTCTACAGCGCTGCTAAACACAGTAGCATGTTAGCATAATTGGCTATAACTCCTCTTGCTGTAACTACAAACACAGCAAAACAGCGCAAACGACACAACAGTGAGGAAGAGAAGAGGGAACTAAAGCGAAAAAATGATCAAAGAAAAAATCAAGCTCGGGTGAACATAGCTAGCTTACATCGTATCCTCTGAAGAGACTTGTCTATGGGAGAGACCTGCAGGTGAGTGATCGCCTCGGACTACATTTGGACGCAAAACTAGCGGTAATCTTTCAGCTATATATTGTGTTAGCAGTGCGTTGCTTTTGTACCATTTCATCAGTGATTGTTGTACAGCTTACAAGAAGTTGCGCTCATGTTAATGTTAGCGTATGAATCAGATCGCAAATAAAACTAGGTGGCTCCGTGGAATGAGAGCGTAGGGGAAATGAGAAGCCTGTGAGCGAGTTGAGGGGCGGTGCTAAATATAAACTGAAAAAACCTTGCAGAAACGGGTATAGCTCCTTTAAATAAAAGAATAAATACAAATTTTAACAGACTTTTGACTGTTTTTAAATGTAAAGTTGTTGTACCTAAATTTCAAACCACTGATGATAAACGATGTAATAAAATCCATCAAACTATTAGTTCTATTGCTCAAAACATTTGGTACTAACACTAGTTTTCACATCCATTTATTGACCAGTGATGGGTAAGCTGCTTGATTTGTGCAGTGAGCTAATTTTATTGTATTTTATTGTATTGTAACGTGTAGCACGTTACAATACAATAAAATACAATACAATTTATTTTTGTATAGCCCTAAATCACAACAGCAGTCATCTTAGAGGGCTTAACAAAAGCATTGAAATCACCAACACAGATCAGAGAATCAACAGTTAAGACACAAAAAAGAATATAGAACACATGTTGATAAATGTCCATAATTTGTAGAATTTTAAAGTGTGCTAGCTGGATCATCACCACAGTCCTTTTTGTGGTGACACTACTCTACAATAAACTCAACTTCCCTACACAGAAGCTATACCACCCTTAAAAATGTAGCAAGCTAAGTTACACAATCTTGTCAAAAGTAGCTTGATTTGTAGTAGCTACGAAAGCTATTTTAACGAACTGCAAATCGATGCAATTTTATTGATCAATACAACTCTCTGTCAGAAAAAGGCTGAAGTATGTTTAGATATTTATGTTTAATGGTGATTTTGTCATTATTATTAAAAGTGGTGTTTGCCGGCTCTCTGCTCCTGGTGCAGACGGCTCCTTGGATGACGCTTTTTCAGCTGGTTGCATCTGAACCCTGCCAAGTCTCTTTTCATGGTTGTACTGTTGTGTGTGTGCGAGAGAGCGTAATCTTTCACCTACAGTCTCTCTCCCTAAAACCTTCAAACAAGGTCATATTCTCTAGAACATTTAAGAAAGCCATGGTCTGCTTCTGAGGTGAAGGCGGTGGAGAGGGCTATGATGTCTTTCATACAGACTTGAAAAGTAATGGGAAGTCCCACTGCTTGCCCTGCTTTACACCTTTAAATATATTATATAAATTATATGTATAGCCATGTCTCTGAGTCCTTCAGAAAGGGTGGGTCCCATATGGCACGGCCCTGTCATAGGACCCCACCATTTAGCCAAAACGTGTGTGTGAACCACGTGTGTATGAGCCAACAGGAAGTGTAGGCATGACACCATTCATGCCTACACTTCCTGTTGGCTCATGTTGTGGTGAGATTTCAACAAATTTCAGTAACTGTGAAAAACCAACGCCTCGGACCTGAACACACCTCAATCTGATGTCACTAAAAGTTTAATTCTGTTACAAAAATGTAGCACAGTCTGCGACTGGCGAAACGTGGGAATGAAAAAATACTTCTCAGGTTGTGCGTTTGGTTATTCCCTTTATATTATTATAATAGATCCATGTTTCAGTCCCAGTGTGTCCTTTGGTTCATACTGTGTCCCCTGGTTCTTACTGGACGACCTGTAAAGTAAATGTACGGTGGGACAAAAAAGTAATTAGTTAGCCACCAGTTGGGAAAGTTCTCCTACTTAAAAGGGTGAGAGATGCCTGTAATTTCAACTGTAGATATACCTCAACTATACGAGACAGAAAAAATAGAATCACATTGTCTGATTGTCAAAGAATTTATTTGCAAATTATGATGGAAAATAAGTGTTTGGTCACACCCTGCACACAATGAACCACAAATGCGGACACAGATTCGCGGATCCGTGTCTCACAAGCACTATTCCAGCTGCTGTGCTGTGTGCGTGGAGCTACACACACGCCTAACGCACACATGCAGGGTGAACTGAGTGATGAACAGAGTCCAGCTTACATCTCTATCATAGCCCAAAGTGCTTCCATCACTTTGCTGTGGTCTTTTTGGGCCACGCCCCCCTCAGTTCAGTAGTTGCCTATTGTTGAATAAAGTTCAACAATAGGCAACTAAACTTTATTGGTATCTTTAGAAAATAATCAAGACTCTAATATTATAAATATGAATAGGTTGAATCCCCTTTGATTATATATATTTTTTTGTGCAACTTACCAAATATATTCCTAAATCTACTTTAGTTCCCCATCTATAAAAGACTCTGCATTTGAATAAACAGCAGGTGAATCGAAATGTGAATAATTTTCTGCTCAAGGGGTTTGTATTTTTGCTCAGACCCATGAAAAATTGGATGGAGCACTGCACGACCATTAGGTAAAAAGACCAACTGAGCCACAACCACCTTAAAAACATTGTTATTTTAATAGTTTATACCCACTGGTTTTGTTACTTTACCCAATCCATTTTATCATACAATGTACAAAACATTAAAAGAGACATTTAACTGGTAAGACCATTTTTATTGCGTGCAACTCTTGCCACAGTGGAGAAGGTTAATATTGTTTTAAAATTGGCTTTGAATAACATTCAAATGTAAATTGAACCATTTATCAGTCCAGACATGACAAATATAAAATTATTTTGGGCAGAATCATGTTTTGCACATTTTTAAGACTGTTGGGCATCTTACAGATTTGTATTATTTTTTCCTCTGCCCTCTGACCATACTTTGACAACCCTTGAACAAACTTGTTTTCTTTGTATACAGTACTTAGGATCATTTTGACATTGATAAGATGGAGCACTATCAACCAAGAAAAGATGTAAAAAGGTCCCAAAAGTCCCTGAAGAATAACTCACTCTCAGCAAGAAGGTTCGAATCCCGGTTGGCCTTTCTGAGTGGAGTTTGCATGTTCTCCCCGTGTCTGCGTAGGTTTCCTCCGGCTGGAGATCTTATAACGCAGTCCAAGGTACTAGGGAAGCCTTTGAGTTGAGGCTCAACTCTCAGTCATTCGCAGACTGCCAAGGAAAGAAAACTTTAGTTTGATAAATGACTGGATCTCTCCAAGCGTCTCAGGCACTTGACAGACGTGTAGCTTAAACAAGACTGCGTTCTGAAGCGGCACTCGCTGCACAGAGGCTGCACTGAGTTTTACTATGGATATATTATAATAGATAGTTTTACAAACGCAGTGTGAAGAGAAGAGACCATGGAGGACTAACATCTGCGGGAGCTTTAAACACGGCGCCACATCTGCATTACAGTAAGAAAACAGAACATTCACTCATGCTGCTGACAAAGTATTCTGACGATTGTTTTGTGGGGATTCTGTGTGTGTTTTATTTGAGGCTTGTCCCTGAATAAGTTTAGTTGAAACTTGTGACAATAGTTGCACTGCGCTCGGATCGGGTAAAATTATCTGACAAATCGCTGTCAGATAATTTTAGCTGTGTCTGAGTGAAGAAGAAGGTAGAAGAAAGAAGAAAGTAACGGAGAGATGGATACTCGCATCTTCTGTGTGAGGAGGAGGAGAGATGTGTGTGAGCAGAGGAGGAGGAAGAGGATTAGCGAGACAGGTGTGTGAGGGGCGACAGTAGCTCAGTTGGTAGAGCACTGGCCTTTAGGCCTGAAGATCGTGGGTTCGAGCCCACCATAAGACCTACTTCACGACTCCCACTGATGACTGCTGTCGTTGTGTCCTTGGGCAAGACACTTAACCCCACTTTGCCTGAAGCCCCTGCTGAAAGATCTCAGCTCCTGTGGACTCACCATCCATGCTCACCACCTGCAGGAGGATTAGTGAGGGGCTGGTGCTCTGTGAACTGGGTGCAGCTCTGACTGCCACCCCCCCGACCCAGAAATGGATTAAGGGGAAGAAAATGGATGGATAAGCAAAACAAAATTCATGGTGTTTTCAAACAATAACAGTAACACAGACGTCCAGGTTTCAATAAATAGCACAACAATTGAAAGAGTACAAGAAATAACATTTTTGGGAGTGTCAATGGATGAGAAATTAAATTGGAAATCCCATGTAAATCAGGTAAAAAGAAAAATATCAAAAAATATCTCGGTACTGCACAAAGTGAAACATTCACTGGATCATAAAGCCCTAAGGCTCCTGTACAGTACCTTGATATTGCCCCATTTCACCTACTGTGTAGAAGTCTGGGGAAACACATACAAGCACACCATACATCCTCTAATCCTCTTACAAAAAAAAGCAGTGAGAATCATTCATAAAGTGGACTCAAGAGAACACACAAACAACCTATTCATACAATCAAAACTGTTAAAACAAGAGGATCTGATCAAACTACAGTCACTCATTGTGATGTACAAAGCCAGAGACTCTCTGCTGCCAGCAGCTGTACAACAGGTATCTCTCTCAATATCAACCAGGACAGTAGAAGGAAGTTACACTTCTCTGTCCCTTTTGCCAAAACCACCCAGAAACACATGGGAATATCAGTGGTCGGAGTAAAACTATGGAATCAACTTGACTATGAAATAAAAAAATCCGCAAACATCCACATGTTTAAGAAAAAAATCAAAGCAACAGTGAAATCGTATGAAATGAATGATTA